GGACCCCGGCGGGTGCCCGGCAGGGGGTAGGGGCCTCCAGCGCTGAAGGGCGGGCTTCCCCCCAGAGGTACCCGCGACCCCACCTTGAGGTCTCGCTGGGATCCCCCACTTGAGTCCCGCAGCCCCCGGGCCGGGCGGGCGGGACTCGGCTGCGGCCCCCGGCTGCGGCCCCCTCCCCTCGGGCACGCGGGGGCACCGCCCCCGCCCCGCCCCCACTCTCCCATTGGGCATCGTTCCGAACAGGCGAGCCTCGAGCCACTCCCCTTGTCCAATGGGAGGTGGAGGCGGATGCATGGGGCGGGGCTAAGGAAGAGTGGGGCGGGGCTTGCGAGGAAATCGACCCTCACCGCCCAGACGGGGCGGAGCCGCGCGGCCTTGTGTAGTCCGGGCGCGGGTCGTAAAGGTGGCGAGGAGCGCGAAGGTGGGACCGAGGTGGGACCGCGTCACTAAGCCACTTCGCCTCGTTCACCGAGCACGTGGAGCCGAGACCTCCACGCCCGTTTAGTCCGCACGGGCCGGGCCAAGCCCACGACCCACGCCACCCTCGAGCTCCCAGGCTGAGCTGTGTTGGGAGCGCTGAGGCCCGTGGTGGGGCGGGCACTCGGGGACCCTCTCGTGTTTGTGCCGAGGTCCCGGGTGGTTCGGCCGAGCTGCGCACCCAGAGACGGGGAGTGGGCACAAACTTAGGTTTGGGGTGGCTGAGGCAGGAGGATCGCCGCGAGTCTGAGGCCAGTCTCGATTATATGCCTGTCTCAGAAAAAGACAATTTAGATATGGACGGGAAGCCAGTCGGTGCGTGACGCTGGGCTAGAGTTGAAATCAGCCGTGTGGACGCTGCGGCCCTCGGCAGCAGCCACGCACCTCTTCCTATTCAGAAACCGCTCCCTTAAGGAGTGGAATCGCGGGAGCGGGAGAGGACGCTGGTGCAGAGCCCCGGTCTGCGTGCTCCGCTGGGCGGGGAAGCGGGGACGGGATGGCCAGGACACTGCTGTGTGGGAAGGCCGCAGAAAGCGCGGGGGCGGGTCTAGGCCACCGCGTGAACCTGACCTTCACTGCCCGACATGCTCCGGTTAAGGGCTAGTGTCGCTCGTGAGGTCCTGGGCAAGCCCTGCGCTCTTAAGCTCCCTGCCTCCTGGGACGGCTGGGGATCCTTCTGGCTCTTCTTTGGTGTTTGTCTGGGTTTTTGAGACAGGGTCTCGCCACGCAGCCCAGGCTGGTCTGGGAGATGCTCCTGCCTCAGCCTCCAGAGGGCTGGGAATACAGACCTGTGCCCCGCCCAGCACTGCTGGGTGTTACAGCCCTAGTGCTCTTGTTAGGATCCCTCCCTTTCTTCAGGGAGTCAGGCTGGGTGGGTTCCTGCTTGCTCCTTGGGAATGCAGTGGGTGGAAGGGAAAGCCCAGCCTTCCCGGAGATAAGAATCCACTTGGCTCTACCTGCAGGCAAGTGTGTTGCAGCTCGGCCTGAGGCTGCCAGAGCCAGGGGAAACCAGCGGCCAGCAGCTCGGTGCCCGGGTGCTACGCCTCAGGGCATTCGTTGTCATTATCTGACACATTCCTTCCTGGGGACAACTGGTAACAAGGAAAAAAAAATAGGGCGAGCTTTCTTGAGATTAAAACCGTTCAGGAATCATGTTCAGTATTTATTTACTTATTTTTGTGGTATTAGGCTTGAACCCAGAAACTTTTGCATTGAGCTACATCCCTAGCCTTTTTTTATTTTGAGATAGGGTCTCACTGAGTACTCCAGGATGGCCTCAAACGGGTGATCCTCCTGCCTCAGCCTCCCAGAGTCCCAGGATTACAGCTGTGCACCACTGCACCCAGTTTACATTCACTGTTGGCTCAGGGCAGTTTCTGCTCTGATAAGATTCGGGCCTCCCGATGCCACCCTTCCTCCCTACCTTAACCACACTAATTGCATCCACAGCCTCCCGGTGGAAGGTGCCTGGCCTTTCGTTGCTAAGCAACTGTAGGAATAAACCATAGGGAGCAGTGCAGGAGGCAGGCTGCCCCTCAAAGGAGCAGGCAGCAGCACAATCTACCAGCCCTGTTTTTTTTTTTTTTTTTGAGACAGTGTCTGGCTATGCAGTTCAGGCTGGCCTTGAGCTCACTTTGTAGCCCAAGCGGGTCTCGAACTCACAATGATCCTCCTGCCTCAGCCTCCCGAGTGCTGGGATTACAGGCATGCACCACCACACCCGGCTTCTAAAAAAAATTTTTTTTTAAATTCTGGGGATAGAACCCAGGGCCTCCTGCGTGCTAGGCAAACACTCACTACAAAGCTACTCCCCTGCCCTCATTAAAAGACAGGGAGCCAGATACGGTGGCGCGCGCCTGTAATCCCAGCACCTGGGAAGCTGAGGCAGGAGGATCTTTGCAAGTTCCAGGCCAGCCTGGGCTACAAAGTGAGCTCAAGGCCAGCCTGAACTGCATAGTGAGACCCTGTCTCAAAAAGACAAAAAAAATTATTTTTTTTAAAAAAAATACAGGGTCTTGATATCTTGCTGAGGCAATCCTTCTGCCTCAGCCTCCCGAGTGCTGGGATTATAGGCATGAGCCATCAAGCTCAGCAAGAGTGTCTTTTTTAAAGGAAACAATTCCGTTATTTTGCTTTCTCTGTACAACAAATGTCTTTGTGGGCATGGGAAAGAAAACATCGAAAGCATCGGAAGCCTGATTTGTGTGTGGGAGAAAAAGCAGAAGTGTGAATCTCCTGTTTCGATTACCCTGCTCTCGGTCCGTGCCTCGGGACCGGGGAGATCTGAGGGCCACAGTTAGAGATGTTTATTTCTTGTGGTGCTCGGGATGGAAAGCAGGCCTCACACCTGCGAGCCAGCGCTTGCCATGGAGCCGCGCCCCAGCCCCAGGATCTGGGGGGCAGGCGCGGTGCTCATAGATCCCAGGCACTTGGACTCCTGTGGGTGGCGCGCTCAGCTGTGCCTTTCGCTGGTGTTCAGATGAACCAGGGCAGGAAACCCAAATCTTCTTGAAAGAAGAGGGAGAAGCTGGCATGGTGGCACACGCTTGTAATCCCAGCACTTGGGAGGCTGAGGCAGGAGGATCTCAAATTTTAGGCCAGCCTGGGCTACATAGTAAATTCACGGCCAGCCTGGACTACATTGAGAGACCCATTTCAAAGCAAAACATACAGCAAGAGGTGGCGGAGGAGCTACAAAGAAAAATGTGGACCCGGTTTGCGATGTCTGGCAGGAGGGGCTGTCCATGGCCACGACCCACCTGTGCCCCCCCTTGAGACCCCTCTGTCCTGTGCTCGTCCCCACCTGCCGCACTGCGCTGGGAGCCAAGCTGCTACCTGGCTGCTCCTACGAGTAAAAACCGTCTTCGTTTTTTCCCCAGTGCCAGGGCTGGAACACAGGGCCTAAGGCGGGGCAGGGAAGCTCTCGTTCTGGCCTCTAGAGCCACTCTGAAATCGCTGCCGGGAGGGGTCACTGTCAGCCCTCTGACAGCCGCTGGTAGAGCTGGGTGCTGTCCTGGGTCACCAGCAGTAAAAGTCTGGGAAATGACACCCAGGGAAGGCCCGGTGTCCAAATGTGCAGGGAGGGGCCTTACTGCTCTTTGGGTGTGTGGGGGTGTGTGTGTGCATGCGTGCGCATTACTGGGGATTGAACCCAGGGCCTTCATGCTGAGCTCCATCCTCAGCACTTTGTTCTTTTTTTTTTTTTGGTTTTTCTCCGGTACCGGGAACTGAACTCACGACCTTGCACTTGCCAGGCAGGCGCTTTTGCTGCTGAGCTAAATCCCCAGCCCCTTGTTTTTCTTTTTTTTTTTTCCTTTTTGAGACAGGGTCTCACTATGCAGTTCAGGCTGGCTTTGAGCTCACTTTGTAGCCCAGGCTGGTCTCGAACTTGCAACGATCCTCCTGCCTCAGCCTCCCGAGTTCTGGGATTATAGGCATGCGCCGCCAAGCCTGGCCCCAGTACTTTATTCTGAGACAGGATCTCCCTAAGTTGCCCAGGCTGTGCTCAAACTTGGGATCCTCCTGCCTCAGCCTCCCCTGTAACTTCGATCACAGGTGTGCATCACCTCGCTGTGTGACCAGGTGGGTCTGCAGGTGTCATACACATTCCTGGTCTTCCCTGGGTACCTTCTCATTGTAAGATGGGCTCCTATGCAAAGACCAGCTTGCGGGCTGCTGGTCACCAGAGCTGTGGTGGCCCAATGGGGTGACACAGGCTCCTCCCCCGGGTCTGCGCAGCCAGTGGCCCTTATCTGAACTCTCCTTTTTATTTATGGGGCCCCTAGAATCCCAGCTGCTTTCTTCCTGGTCTGTGTGTCGGAGCCCAGAAAGTGACTCACTTCCTCTCCTCACACCACCGACCGCAGTTGTGCTCTGAGTCACCAGGGTGTGGGGCCCCTCCGGAGGGAGGCATCCTGCCGCAGGGTGATTCCAGAAGCTCCCCGCCCTCGCCTCTCCCCCACTTCCTGCTGCTGTCCCTGGGATCAGGGCAAAGCTGATCCCTCTAGAGTCGGCACCAAGCTTGGAGGGTTCTTGCACAGCTGCCTTATTTATGCCTCTTCCAGTTTCTCCACCTCCACCCTCCTTTTTGGTTTTTTGAGACAAAGCCTCAATGTGTAGCTCAGGCTGGTCTCGAACTTACGGTGATCCTCCTGCCTCAGCCTCCTGAGCACTGGGATGACAGGGGACGCCACCACGCCTGCCCTTCTGTTGTTCTGTAAATACGGTGATATTTATAACAGCAGTGTCTGGTGGGGCCCCTTTCCCCTGGTCTTCACCCCTCACAGCACTGTCTAGGACACAGGGACCACTGTCCTTGGCCCTTCTGCAGATGAAGAAACAGGATTGCGTCAGTCCCGCGAGCGCTTCTAGTTAAAAGGGCTGGGAAACAGCAAACCCAGCGCGCTCTGTAACCTTACACACCATGCTCAGGGAAACAGGAAGTTCTGGGTGAGCCGTCCATGCAAAATGGATAAAAAAGGCAGGGCCCCCCTCCACGGAGTCCTTCAGCGCAGGCACCGAGCTGGTTTTGTTTTTGCTTTTCTTGTTTTTTTGACACACAGTCTCCCTACATAGTCCGGGCAGCCTTTGAACTCACTATGTGGCCCAGGCTGGCCTGGAACTCCACATCCTCCTGCCTCTGCCTCTCAAAGCTGGGATTCCAGGTGTGTGCCACTATTCCCAGCCCTAAAACACTCCGAAAAAAAAAAAAAAAATCAAACTACCTTGAAGCAATGTGCTGTGATTTCCCGTGCAGACACTCAGCTACAAACAAGAATCACAACTACCACAAACTTCTGCACCTGGGTTAGTCGTGCAAGGATGACATTACCCTTTTCATGGCTGCGAGAGGCTACATTTTTGTTTTTTGAGACTGGGTCTCACTATGGAGCCCAGGCTGGACTCCCAACTCCCAGCGATACTCCTGCCTCAGCCTCCTGAGTGCTAGGATTGCAAGCCTGTGCCACTAAGCTCCGACAGGCTACACTATTAGTGCAAATTTTTACTTAGATATTGATGGAGATATTGTATTTATTACATGTAGGAATATATATATATATATAATATATATGTGAAGGAAAGAACGTTGGCTCACAGTTCTGACAGCTGGACGTCCGGGACTCCGTACCCACTTGCCGCGGTGTCCTCGTTGGGGCAGAATGGGGCGGAGACACCGAAGGGCAAACTGCGCATGCGGGAGAGAGAAAAGGGGCGGGGCGGCCTCTGCTGTAGAATACCCTGCTCTCGTTGCTAACCAACTATCGCGAGAAATGCATGCATTTATTTCTCCTAATCAGCGGAAGGAATCCCACCCACCCCACATCCACACATTGGAAACTTAAGTCCGAGTTTGGGAGGGGAGGAGCCACGTTCAAATCACAGCCTGTATATATCGATACTTTATATACTGTGTTATGTATGCGTGCATGGATATATGTAAATCCATACTGTAAATCTAGTATTGCTATATAATAGATACATATATAGATAAGTGTAAACCTATCTAGTATATATGACTATCCATATCATACATGTGTGATTCATAAAAGTAAGTCTGGGTGTGTGGAGTCTGTGATATAGACGTATAGTGGACAAATATAAATATATCAGGTATAGGTAATCTATATATAATAATCTATGGATTCTATATATATATTATACAGGTATATAGCTGTATTCTATATACCTTTATAATGTATAAAATGTGTATGGTACATGGTGTGTAATAATAGCTACAGATGACCAGGCGTGGCGGTGCACGCCTGTCATTGCAGCACTCAGGAGGCTGAGGCAGGAGGGTCACTGTGAGTTCAAGGCCAGCCTGGGCTATGTAGTGAGACTTTGTCTGAATAAAAAAGAAATTTCATAACAGAGACCACAGTTCTTGGTCGTGGCCAAGGACAGGCTGACCCAAAGCCTCATGTGTCTCAAGGTCTTGATTTCACATGGCTTCTGAGAGCCCGCGATTTACCCTGTGGGCCCCAAATCTGTTTCTCTTCCCTTTCTTTATTGCCATACTGAGAAGTGAGCCCAGGCCTTTCCCACTGGGCTACGTCCCCAGTCCTTTTTTAATTTGTATTTTGAGTCTGGCTGGGTGTGGACTTAACTTTGCAATCCTCCTGCCTCACCCTCCCAGAGAGCAGGAATTACAGGTGTGAGCCACCATAACCAGCTTCTGTTTCATTTCCTTTTAAAACATCTGCTCTTTAGATATATGATTGTCCTTGCTGCTGGATCTGTGTGCATTGGTCTCTGTGTTACGATTTTTGTACTTTTCTGTCTTCATATTTCCTGCCTACTTCTTTGAAAAAACTCATTTCCTTTTGCTGTCATGGTTTTTCCTTGCCTTGTGTCCTTTTCTGTTACTTAAGCAGGCCCGTTTTGCCTACCTTGCAGCAGTTTTTGGAATGGAAAGATTACTGGACAGACATCCACTTGTGTAGGTGGGGAGCCAGTCTCAAATCTGCCTCCCTGGGGATAAGGGTTTGGGGATTTCTATTTGTTTTTATTATTTATTTATTTATTTATTTGTCTTTTTGAGGCCGGGTTCCCCTATGCAGTTCAGGCTGGCTTTGAGCTGACTTTGTAACCCAAGCTGGTCTGGAACTCACAGCAGTCCTCCTGCCTCAGCCTCCCCAGTGCTGGGATGACAGGTGTGCGCCAGCACACCCGACTCAAGTTTGTTTGTTTGAGACACGGTCTCACTATGTAGTCCCAGTTGGTGTTGAACCCACTGTGTAGCCCCGGCTGACCTCAGACTCACGGTGATCCTCTTGCTTCAGCCTCCCGAGTAGCTGGGATGACAGGGTGAAACACAGTACCTACCTCTAATACAGATTTCTTAAAAAATAAGCCAAATAATTATCCTTTTTTTTTCTAGGACTGGGAATTGAACCCAGGGCCTTTGCACTGAGCTACATCCTCCTCCATTCTTTTTTTTATTTCGAGACAGGGTCTCTCTGAAATTCCTAAGTTACCTGGGCTGGGGTCAAATTTTTGATCCTCCTGCCTCCCAAACCTGGGATTCCAGGCTGGACCCCTACCCCCACCGGCACGTCCTCTTTTTTGGAGACGTTTGCTGATCGCATCCTCCAGTCTACTTCTAGCTTCGGGAAATTTTGCCTGCTGTGCTGCTTTAATTTCCCCAGCCTGGGATGGTGAGGGCTGTGATTGCATTTCCTCCCTGGGTTGGCGGGAAGTGGACGCCAGAAATGCGGTCAGTTTCTGGCTCTGGCGTTGAGCAACCTGCTTTTCTTCCCTCACAGCGGAAGGTAAATGTGCGCGGAACGAGTTCCAGTGCTGGGACGGGAAGTGCATCTCCTACACGTGGGTGTGCGACGGCAGCGCCGAGTGCCCGGACGGCTCGGACGAGTCCCAGGACACGTGCCGTGAGTCCCTCGGGCGCGACGTGGCACCTGAGCCCCTTTACAGTCAGCTGGTGGTGCTGGGACAGAGCTGGGGCCTTGCACAGGTTCTCCCCCTGAGCGACACCCTTTACCCAGCAGCTTTATTTTTTAGTGAGGTAGAATTCACCTCATAGGAAATTACCCTGTCATCCCAGCTCTCAGGAGGCTGAGGCAGGAGGATCACCACAAATTCAAGGCCAGTCTGGGCTCCATAGTGAGACCCTGTCTCAAGGAAAAGAAAGAACAGAAATAAATCAGCTCAGCCAGGCCTGGTGGTGCACACCTGTAATCCCAGCACTCAGGAGGCTGAGGCAGGAGGATCGTTGCGAGTTTGAGGCCAGCCTGGGCTACAAAGTGAGCTCAAGGCCAGCCTGAACTGCATAGTGAGACCCTGCCTCAAAAAGCAAAAGGAAAAAAAAAAAGAAAAAGAAATGAATCAGTTCAAAGCATTAGTGCTGTCACAGTGTGCAGCCGCCACCCCTAGCTGCTTCTAAGACCTTGCCATCGTCACCCAGTGTCTCTTTTTTTTTGTCTTTTTGAGACAGGGTCTCACTGTGCAGTTCAGGCTGGCTTTGAGCTCACTTTGTAGCCCAGGCTGGTGTTGAACTCGCACCGATCCTCCTGCCTCAGCCTCCTGAGTGCTGGGATTACAGTTGTGCGCCACCGCGCCTGGTTCCAATGTCTCATTTTTAATAAACCCTTTCAGTGTCCTTCATTTGGACCTGTGAAGCTCACACTGGCAGCCTCTTTCTGGAACCCCCTAGAGTTTCCCTTTACCACTTGTGCGTCTGACATCAGGCTTCACCTCCTACAGTGGCTGCCACCTGCAAATCGGGCGACTTCAGCTGCGGGGGCCGCTTGAACCGCTGCATTCCCAACTCCTGGCGATGCGACGGCCACGAGGACTGCAACAACGGTGCCGACGAGCGAGGCTGTCGTAAGTGTGGCCCTCAGTGCCTGGGGGAGTCCTGAGGGTTTGGCCTGCATCCCCAGCTTCAGGGTTCTGTCTTTGTTTTTTTGAGACAGAGTCTGGCTGTGTAGCCCAGGCTGGCCTCGAACTCTCGGCGATCCTCCTGCCTCAGCCTCCCGAGTGCTGGGGTTACAGGGTTGCGCCACCACGCCCGGCTTTTTGCTGTGCTGAGCATGGAACCTAGGGCCTGGTGTGCCCACTGTGGAGCTCCCTCCACCCCAGCTCTTTCTCGCTTTTTAAATACAGCTGCCCCCCTTGCCTGGGGGATCCCCTCCAAGACCCCAGTGGTGCCAGAAAGTGAATATAGTACTGAACCCTGTGTCTACTATGCTTTTCCTAAATGTGTTTACTTACGACGCGGTTCACAAATCAGGCGCCGTCAACAATTCACAATGTGACTAATAGTAAAATAGAACAGTTCCTAACAGTGTGCTGTAGTAGAAGTAATTTAAAACCTGTGTGAGCTGGGGGTACAACTTAGTGGGGCGCTTGCCTGGCATTCGTGAGGCCCCGGGTTCATCCCCAGGCCTGCAAAAGCAAAGCAGAGAAGGTGGGCGTAGTGGCGCATGTCTGTAACCCCAGCACTCAGGAGGCTGAGGCAGGAGGATCGCCAAGACTTCCAGGCCAGCCTGCGCAACGTGACGCGTTCCTGTGTCCCTGTCTGTAGAGTGAGTGGCGTTGGGGCCGAGGCTCTTGGGTGACGGGTGGCTTCCCGCTGTCCCCACAGCCGCCAAGACGTGTCCTGAGGACGAGTTCCGCTGCCAGGACGGCCGGTGCATCTCCCAGCAGTTCCTCTGCGACGGGGACCGCGACTGCGCGGACGGCGCGGACGAGGCTGCCTGCTCGGTGGCCACCTGCAGCCCCGGCGACTTCCAGTGCAACACCTCAGCCTGCGTTCCCCAGCTGTGGGCCTGCGACGGGGACCGCGACTGCGCGGACGGCTCGGACGAGTGGCCGCAGCACTGCGGGGGCCGGGACACGTCAGCGCCCCGGGGCGACAGCGGGCCCTGCTCCTCGCTGGAGTTCTACTGCCGCAGTGGCGAGTGCATCCACAGCAGCTGGCGCTGTGACGGAGGCCCCGACTGCAGGGACAAGTCCGACGAGGAGGGCTGCGGTAAGAGCGGGGTCCCGTGCCCGCCCCCCTGCTGCCCCAGGCGGGTCGCGTGGTCACTTCCAGGAGTTCACAGTTTCAAATTGCTCTGTCTGGGCGTGGGGGCGCACGCCTGTCATCTCAGCACTCCGGGAGGCTGAGGCAGGGGGATTGCAAAGTTGAGCCCAGCCAGGTAATTTAGTTGACTTAGTGAGACCCCGTCTCAAAATAAAAAATAACAAGGGCTGGAGCTGGGGCTCCCTGGGAGGGCCCTGGGTTCCATCCTCTGAACTGCGCAATTGCTTTATTTCTGGATTTTTTATTTATTAATTTATTTTTTGGTGTTTTGAGTCAGGGTCTCACTTTGTAATTCAGGCCTTGAACTCGCTATGTGGCCCAGGCTGGCCTCAAACTCAAAATGGTTCTCCCGTCTCAGCCTCCCAAGTACTGGGATGACAGGCATTCGCCGCCTCACCCCGCTTAGTTCTGGAGTTTCAGAGGCTCAGGCCTGCAGTGCCCACTGTGGATGGCACCATGGCGCCCTCCACGGAGAAAGGGGACCGCTGTGTCTCTGCTGCCCGCCTACCCCAGGGACAGTCAGCGCCCGTCTCTTCCAGCGGTGGCCACCTGCCGCCCGGACGAGTTCCAGTGTGCGGACGGCAGCTGCATCCACGGCAGCCGGCAGTGCGACCGGGAGCACGACTGCAAGGACATGAGCGACGAGGTCGGCTGCGTCAACGGTGAGCTGCGGCCCCCGCTTCCCGCCCCGCCGCCCACGCCTGGCGTCGGCAGGGAGAGTGGGGCCCTGATGGGGGGCAGGGAGCATGGCCGCAGCGACACCCTGAGCCCATTCAGCTTTGAGACAGGGCCTCACTCAGTTGGCCAGTCTGGGCTGCAGCTTGCGAGCCTCCTGCCTCCGCCTCCCGGAGTGCTGGGAGGCAGGGGTGCAGCACCTGGTGGGTGTGGGCGGCCCAGACGGAGAGGCCCAGCCAGCGCCTGCAGCCCGGACGCTCCTGACTTTTTTCTCGTCTCACAGTGACACTTTGCGAGGGCCCGGACAAGTTCAAGTGCCACACCGGAGAGTGTATCACGCTGGACAGGGTGTGCAACGGGGCCCGGGACTGCCGAGACTGGTCAGACGAGCCCCTCAAGGAGTGTGGTGAGTGTGACCGGGTGCGTGTGGGTGGGTGTGGGGGTGGAGAAGGCTCCGCCTGTCATCTCAGCTGCTTGGGAGGCTGAGGCAGGAGGGTCTCAAGTTTGAGCCCAGCTTGGCTATTGGGTGATTTAGGAAGTCTTTGTCTCTAGGTGGCAGGGAGGGGGGTGGCTGGAGGCTCGGGGGTGACCAGCTTTGCCCCCCGCCCTGCACAGAGACCAATGAATGCTTGGACAACAATGGGGGCTGCTCCCACATCTGCAACGATCTCAAGATCGGGTACCAGTGTCTGTGCCCCAGTGGCTTCCACCTGGTGGACCAGCAGCAGTGCAAAGGTGAGGCCCATGCAGGGCAGGGCTGTGCGGCCTCTGCAGCCTTTCCCCCTCCAGGCCCCTGCCTCAGTTTCCCCTGTGTCTGATGGGTACAAAAGCTGTCCCACATCCTGGGGCGGTCAGCGAGGTTTCATAGCAGACCACGTGGACCCAGAATTGAGCACAAGCCTGACCTGCTTCACTACGGGTTTCCTTAGAGGTCTTGTGTCTTGAGTTAATCATTAAAGAAATCCAGGGAAGGCTGAGGCAGGAAGATCTCAAGCGCAAGCTCTGCCTGGGCAATTTAGTGACTTAGCAAGACCCTGTGTCTTTTCTCTCATTGCTGGGACAAAAATACCTGACACTCAAAATTAAGGAAGGAAAGGTTTATTTAGCTCATAGTTTGTGGAGGTTTCAGTCTATACTCGGCTGGCTCCAAGGCAGGGTGGCACGTGGCACAGGGCAACCATTCGTGGCAGCTGAAGATAGCAAAAGCAACAAGAGCGAAAGGGAGGAGCAGTGGCAAGCAGCCTCTTTCCCTCCCTTACATTGTATGAAAACTACCCGCCCAGGGCGGGTGTAGCACCCACACCCATAATCCCAGCATTGGACTATGGATCAATCAAAAATCTAGAAGCTACCCCATGACTGTGTGAGGATTTGGGGGGACATCCAGGCACAAACCATAACGCCCTGTCTCAAAATAAAAAATGTTTTTAAAAACGACTGGGATCCTGGCATGGTGGCACACACCTGTCATCCCAGCACTCAGGAGGCTGAGGCAGGAGGCTCACTGTGAGTCTGAGGCCAGCCTGAGCTCCAAGGTGAGACCCTGTCTCTCCGCGCGCAGACATTGATGAGTGTCAGGACCCCGACGCCTGCAGTCAGCTGTGCGTGAACCTGGAGGGGAGCTACAAGTGCGAGTGCGAGGACGGCTTCCACATGGACCCCAGCACCAAGACCTGCAAGGCCGTGGGTAAGCGGGGAGGCGGCCTGGGTCTCGGGAGAGGCAGCCTGAACCCTGCAAGGGCTGAAATCGCCTGTGATCCCAGCTACTTGGGACCCCAAGTTTGAACCTAGGCCGGGCACTTAGCAATTGAACAAACCCCGTCTCAAACCAAAGCATAAGAAGGGGGCCAGGGATATAGCTCAGTGGCACAAGCGCCTGCCCGGCAAGTGCAAGGTCCTGAGTTCGATTCCCGGTACTGACAAAAAAATAAGAGGTGAGGGTAGCAAGCTCTCCTGGGTTCAGCCCTCAGGACCTAAAAGCCAGTCCTCTCCTGCCCTCCTGGGTCCCCAGGCTCCGTCGCCTACCTCTTCTTCACCAACCGCCACGAGGTGCGGAAGATGACGCCGGACCGCAGCGAGTACACCAGCCTCGTCTCCAACCTGAAGTACGCGGTGGCCCTGGACGCCGAGGTGGCCAGCAACCGGCTCTACTGGTCCGACCTGTCCCAGAGGAAGATCTACAGGTGAGCACCACCACCCGCCCCTGCGCCCGCCCGCCCCTGCCAGGGCTCCCGGCCCTGATGCGTCCCCGCCTCTCCCGCCCCAGCACCCAGATCGACAGGGCCCCCGGCCCGTCCGCCCATGACACGGTCATCAGCGGAGACCTGCAGGCCCCCGACGGGCTGGCCGTGGACTGGGTCCACGGCCACATCTACTGGACCGACTCTGTCCCCGGCACGGTGTCTGTGGCCGACACCAGGGGCGTGAAGAGGAGGACTTTGTTCCAGAAGAAAGGCTCCAAGCCCAGGGCCATCGTGGTGGACCCCATGCACGGGTGCGTGTCTCCAAAGCTCCGGGCTGGGCGGGGACAGGGCAGGGTCGTGGTGTCCAGAGCTGGTGACATTCAGGGATGTCTGTGCCCCAGGTAGGTGTGGCTTGTCCTGAGCTTCAGGAAGACGTCTGCGCAGGGCTCAAGTTATCAGGAAAGAAACCAGCAGCACTTGGGAGGCTGAGGCAGGAGGATCACCACGAGTCCCGGCCAGCCTGGATGATACACATAGTGAGACCATGTCTCAAAAAAAAAAAAAAAAAAAATCAGAACCCGGCTGGGCATGGGGGTGCACACCTGTAATGCCAGCTACTTGGGAGACAAAGGCAGGAGCGTTACAAGTTCAAGCTCAGCCTGGGCAAATTCGCAACTTAGCCAGACCCTGTCTCAAAATAAAAAAGGTAGTGTCTGATTTAACAGCATATTCTATACCATAACTGGGAAAGAAGATAATGGTGTGGGTGTACTTTCACACCATTGCAAAACTAGGCCCCGCTAAGTCACATGTTTTTTTTTTTTGTTTTTTTCCCGGTATCAGGAATCGAACTCACAACCTTGCGCTTGCCAGGCAGGCGCTGTGCCACTGAGCTAAATTCCCAGCCCCAGTTACATGGTTATTTCGGCAGAGTAGTGCATACCCATGAGCCTGGCACTCAGGAGGCTGAGGCAGACAGATCCTGTCTCAAAAAAGAAAACAAAACAAAAAAAGTTAAGTCGTTGTAAGTCAGAAACTATCTATTCTAGCCAGGTGTAGTGGCACATGCTTGTCATCCCAGCACTCAGGAGGCTGAGGCAGGAGGATCACCTTGAGTTTGAGGCCATCCTGGGTTACGTAAGCAAGTTCAAGGCCAGTCTAGACTGTACAGTGCGACCTTGTCTAAAAAAAAGCTCCTATTTCTAATTTCTTTCTTTTATTTTTTGCCTTTTTGAGACAGAATTTCACTATGCAGTTCAGGCTGGCCTTGAGCTCACTTTGCAGCCCAGGTGGGCCTCGAACTCCTAGTGATCTTCCACCCTCAGCCTCCTGAGTGCTAGGATGACAGGCGTTCGCCACCATACCTGGCTTACCTGTTCTAATTTCAAAGTGTATTAGTTTTGTTTCTCTTTTCTTCAGAGGGATTTTGGGGGTGGACCCCAGGGTTTTGTGCATGCTAAAAAAGAGCTCTACCCCTGAGCTACCCCCTCAACCTTTTTTAATTTTTTGAGATAGGACCTCACTAAGCTGCCCAGGCTGGATTAGAACTTGCAATCTTCCTGCCTCAGCCTCTTGAATAGTTGGGATTACAGATGTGCACCAGTGTGCCTGGCTTCAAAGTATATTAGCTTTTGTTTTTTTGGTTTTTGGTTTTTGGTTGTTTTTTTTTTGAGACAGGATCTCACTGTGTAGTTTAGGCTGGGTTTGAGCTCAACGTGTAGCCCAGGCTGGCCTCAAACTCAAGGTGACCCTCCTGCCTCAGCCTCCCAAGTGCTGGGATGACAGGTGTGCGCCACCCACCTGGCAGAGTATATAGATTTGAATTATCATCATAAGTTAGAAATGAAGCGAGAGATGAAAATGGTAATTTACTTTGTATGTTGCGGCCCAGCCTTCCAAGCCAGCTGAGACTGCAGAGAGGGGCAGCAAGGGCAGCTCCTCCGTGAGGTCAGTTTGGGGCCCGTGTGTGCGCAGCTCTGTGTCCTTGAATGGCCACGTTCCCCCAGCACACAGCACCCTGTGCCCTTCCTGCCTTCTCTGTCCTCCGCCTGACCGTAGGGGGCGTGATTTCACGATTTCAGTGTGGGGAGGGAGGGGCACGGAAATCATGGGTGAGGATGGCCTCCAACTCACTATGTAACCGGGGCCACCTCAAACTCAAGGGGATCTTCCTGCCTCAGCCTCCTGGGTATACACATCTGGAAGGCCAGGGCAGGTTACAGAGCAGCGCTCAGCTGGGATGGAGCCTCTGAGTGGCAGGGCCCTGCCTGGACCCAGACTGAGCAGGAGAGCTGTCCAGGGGGCCGAGTCCACATTGTTGGAGGGACCCGACAGGCGGAGACTCCAGGACACAGAGCCAGCTAGACGCAGTGGGGGGCACCATCGTCCCCCGCACAGTGATGAGGCCCCAGACCCCCGTGGGTGGCTGAAGCCACGCCTGGCCCTGACGCGCGCTGTCCTTTCCTGTATCTGCGTGCCTGCCATGAGACCTAACTTAACAGAAGAGGCGCAGGGCTTGGGTAGCAAATACGCGATAACAGGGTAGAAACCTGGATAGCCTGTTGTGGTGGTGCACGCTCACGCTCTCAGCGCTTGGGAGGCTGAGGCAGGAGGGCGGTGAGTTCAAGGCCAGTGTGAGGTATACAGTGAGACCCTGTGCCAAAAAATCAAACACAAAAACAAAACCTGTGAGAAGTGGACTTTCGGGGGTTCCCCGCAGAGCCTGACTCCCAAGCCTAGGCCTGGCTCTTTCAGCCCCGGCGGGGACCTGCCCTGCTAAGCGGCCTCATCTCTGCTCTCCCTGCTGTCCCACCAGCTTCATGTACTGGACAGACTGGGGGACCCCCGCCAGGATCGAGAAAGGGGGCCTGAACGGCGTGGACATCTACTCGCTGGTGACCGAAAACATCGAGTGGCCCAACGGCATCACACTGGGTACGTTCTTGGGAGGGCCGTGCCCGCCCCAGCTGCGAGAGTTGCCAGGGCGAGCTGAGGCCCTGGGATCAAAGCTCTGGTGTGGCCTTCAGGGTGGCGATGTGGATGGAGCTCCTTCTCTAAGCAGCTTCTTCTTTCCCAGGTTTCCTTGAGGGCTTCACATATGAGAGACAGATGATATAGCTGAAAGGCTACACTTTTCACCTTGTAGCTGCCAGTGCCCTGGAATGTTCTAGAACTTTCTGGAATGTTCTAGAACTTTCTGGAATGTTCTAGAACTTTCTGGAATGTTCTAGAACTTTCTGGAATGTTCTAGAACTTTCTGGCCTATCTGAGGAGCCTTTCGTTCTAACTTCTGGCATCTGGCATCCACATGTGTAGCAACTCATCGTCTGCCTGTGCATTTTATTTTATTTTACTTTCATTTTCACCTGTGCATTTTAGATCTCTCTAGCGGCCGCCTGTACTGGGTTGACTCCAAACTCCACTCCATCTCCAGTATCGACGTCAATGGCAGGAACAGGAAGACCATCTTGGAGGACGAGAAGCGGCTGGCCCACCCTTTCTCCTTGGCCATCTTCGAGGTGAGACCTGCGAACTGTCAGGAAGTCGCCGCTATTGTTGATAGAGTCTGGGTATGAGGTGAGGCCTAAAAATAAGGTGACTGGTTCAAGTTTTTTAAAAAACTCATACAGTAAAATATGCATTGCATTCACCCCCTTCGATACCCTCCCTCACTTCAAACGCACGTCTTGCGCCCATCCTGTCACTTTTATGGTTTTTGAGACAGGGTCTCACTTTCACCTTGAACTCACTATGTAGCCCAGGCTGGCCCCAAAATTACCGTGATCCTCTTGCCTCAGCCTCCAGAGTCCTGGGATTGTAGGCGGGGGCCACCATGCCGGGGTATTCTGCCCAGGTACTGAAGAGTTCTGGGAGTCCTCTTTCCCCAGTGTCTTTAGTGGCACTGTCGTGGCCGCTTTGATGGCCTGAATCAATTCAAAATGTTACCATTTCATGGTCATTTTGACTTTGGGGAAGAGCCAGAGGTCCCAAGATGCCAGATAGAGTGAATAGGTGGGTGAGGACACACCATCATACAGTCCCAGCACTTGAGAGGCTGAGGCAGGAAGATCTCGAGTTCAAGGCTCTGACACAGGCTACAGTGAGCTACACATGCTTGGACCTTAAGGACATTGTGCTGAGTGAACTGTGCCTGTCTGCGTGGTCCCACTTACCCGGATCCCTGTTGGTCAAATTCACAGACACAGTGGTGGGTATCAGGCTGGGGGCGGGGGTTCCTGTTTTTCATGGGGACAGAGTTACCCCTGGGGGAGATGAGAAAGCCTGAAGAGGTGGCTGGAGGAAGTGGCTGTCCAATGCAAGTGTCAGTGCCCCTGAACGGCACCCTTCCAAATGGTTAGAGTGAAGCTGGGCGCCGTAGCACACACCTGTAAGCCCAGCTACTCAGGAGGCTGAGGCAGGAGGATTATGAGTTTGAGGTCAGCCTGAAGAACTTAGCAAGGCCTTTTTTCATTCTGAAATGACCTCTGTGGTGAGAGCTTGCCTAGGGTGCACAGGGCCTGGGCCCCATCCCCAGCGTCAGGAAACAAACAAAATAAAAAGAGCAACAAAAATTAAAAAAAAAAAAAAAAAAAAAAGACGCAAAAGAAGTTGGGAGTGGTGGCGCATGCCTGTAATCCCAGCATTCAGGAGGCTGAGGCAGGAGGATTATTGCCAGTGTGAGACCAGCCTGGGCTACAAAGTGAGCTCAAGGCCAGCCTGAACTGCATAGTGAGACCCTGTCTCAAAAAGACCAAAAAAAAAAAAAAAAACCGGTTAAGATGGTAAATTGTATGTCATGTGTGTTTTATCATAGTTATAGAGCAAAACAAGAAGAAATGACAGTACCACCTAATAATATTTCTTCTCAAAGAACTGCAGAGATTGGGACCCTGGTCTGTGTCCTAGCCCAGTGGCTAATGACAGCTATCATCTTCCTTAACGCCTTCTTAGGACAAAATATTCTGGACGGATATCATGAATGAAGCCATTTTCAGTGTCAACCGCCTCACAGGCCTGGATGTCCATCTAGTGGCTGAAAACCTGTCGTCACCTGAGGACATCGTCCTGTTCCACAGCGTCACACAGCCAAAAGGTAAGGGTGGATTGGCTGATCCTGTGCTCTCTAAACCTCTCTGCGGGGCCCTGGAATTTTCTGGAGCACTTTCTAGAAGCTTCCAGATTGTTCATAGAATGTTCCAGAGTTTTTTCCCTCTTCCTGGAATGGTCTAAATTCTTCTTTTCCGGAATGTTCTAGAATGTTCCCGTCTGCCTGATGTCTCGGTCTCACCCTGCCTTCTCTCTCCTCCACCCAGGGGTGAACTGGTGTGAGAGGACGGCCCTCCCCAACGGTGGCTGCCAGTACCTGTGTCTGCCGGCCCCGCAGATCAGCCCCCACTCCCCCAAGTTCACCTGTGTGTGCCCCGACGGCCTGGTGCTGGCCAGGGACATGAGGAGCTGCCTCACAGGTAGGGTCGCAGGTCTCGCTTCATGGCCCGCGGTTGGAGCCTTCGGAGCCCTCTTTGCTCCTCAGTGGGAAAGCAAGGCCGTGAGTTTGAGGCCAGCCCAAACTACAGAGCGAGACCCTGTCTCGAAAAAATAAAAGGCGGCCCTGGGCCCGCAGCACTCAGGAAATGCCGACTTCTTCCCATAGAGGCCGAGCCTGCCGTGACCCCCTCAGTGCCACCCACTGCCAGGCCAAAGCACACGGATGAGCGCCCCACCCTCAGCACGCCCGGGCAGCCTGTGGCCACCCCTGGGCTCACCACGGCGAAGTCAGCGACGATATCCCACCCAGGTAAGGGCTGGGGCCACTTGGTGACCATACAGGGTTAGGGTGGAGTCAGGCTCCCTTGACGACTGCCTTGAACTGGGACTGTATGTCTCAGCAGCCTTAGTTTCTCTGCCTGTAAAATGGGTCTGATTTTAGCCAGGCACAGTGGCATATGCTTGTGATTCCAGCTACTTGGGAGGCTGAGGCAGGAGGATCACAAGTTGGAGACCCACATGGGCAACTTAGCAAGACCCTGTCTCAAAATAGAATCATAAAAAGGGCTGGGGATGTGGCTCAGTGGTAGAATGTCCTTGGGTTTGATTCCCAATACTATGAAAGAAATAATGAGGGGCTGGGGATTTAGCTCAGCGGCACAGCGCCTGCCTGGCAAGTGCAAGGTTGTGAGTTCAATTCTCGGTACCAGGAAAAAAAAAAAAAAAAAAAGAAATAATGGATAAGTAGATAATTTTTTAAAGGATTGGGAATTTAGTGAGTGGTAGAGCACTTGCCTAGCATGCATAGGGCTATACCCTAGCCCCTAGATCTTCTTTCTTCAATTTTTTTGTTTCTTTGTTTTGTTTTGTGAGTCAAGGTTTCTCTATGTAGTCCAGGTTGGCCTCAAACTCATGCAGATCCCCCTGCCTCAGCCTCCCAAGTGCTGGGATTACAGGTGTGGGTCACCTCGCCCAGCGGGTATGCGTGGGGTTCTATGCAAAGATGATGTCATTTTATCTAAGGGACTTAAGCATCTTTGGGGGTCTTGGATGCCGAGGGACAACTGCAGCCTGCGCCTGGCCCTCAAGGCGGGCTGTTTAGGAGTTGGCTGTGCCCGACTTGTCTGTGAATTCGCAAGTAGTTCAAACTCCTGACCACCAGGGGGCGCCCGCCCTCCATGAGCAGCCGGGGAAGAGGCCCTGACCTTTCCCTTGGCCAGCTGTGAAAGGAGGGATGCGGGAAGCCGGCTTGTGGGTGGCTGGGCAGCCCTCACCCCGGAGATGGGATTTCTAGAAAGACCACTTCACCGCAGGCCCACGCGGGGCTTCTCCACGGTGGTGAGGGAGCCCTTGATAAACTTCCAGAGCAGCCCACCCTTCTACTTTGTCCCTCTGGCTGGGCATGGTGGCCAAGCCTGTCATCCAGCACTGGGAGGCTGAGGCAGGAGGATTGCTGCGAGTTCCAGGCCAGCCTGGAACAGGGTAGTGAGGCATGCCAGACGTTTTCCCTGTGTGACTGTCACCTCCTGCTGTGCTCTCTGTGTCCCCATTTGCATCTCGGCCTCACTGTGACCCTCCCCCCACAGACGTGGGCAGTGCTGCTGGCAGAGGGGACGAGAAGCCGCGCAGCGTGGGGGCTCTGACCATCGCCCTCCCTATCGGTAAGCACACCTCACCGGAGTCACCCGCCCTCCCAAGAAAGGGGCAGCCCCAGCGCGCCGGTAATCCCTGCATTTGGGAGCCTGAGGCAAGAGTATTGCAAATTTGAGGCCAGCCTGAGCTGCATAGTGAGACCCTGTCTCAAAAAAGAAGAGACCCAAGGGAAGGAAGCCAGGTGTGGTGGTGCACACCTGTGATCCCAGCACTCAGGAGGCTGAGGCAGGAGGATCACAAATTCAAGTCAGAGGCATGTATCTTAGCTGCTTAGTGAGACCATATCTCAAAATGTAAAATGGGCTGAGATGCACTCAGTGTGAAGGCCTTGGGTCCAACCCCTGGTACCACAAAGAAACAAATAGAGATTCCCACGGGAGCTGGTACAGGCCTGTCGTTCCAGCACTCTGGGAAGCTGAGACAGGAGGGTTGTAACTTGGAGCCCAGCCTGGGCGAGGTAGCAAAATGAGTAAATAAGTAAGTAAGTAAATTTAAAAGACAACAAAGCAGAGTGAAACGGCTGGGGATCCAGGCTTAGGGCCTGACGCAGGTGGCCCGGCTGGGCTGCCCTCTGGGGCGTGCATATGACGGTCATCTCTGCCCAGGGCTGGTCGTTCTCCTCTGCCTCGGTGCCTTCCTGCTCTGGAAGAACTGGCGGCTCAAGAGCATCAACAGCATCAACTTCGACAATCCCGTGTACCAGAAGACCACGGAGGACGAGGTACACATCTGCCGCAACCAGGACGGCTACACCTACCCCTCGGTGAGCACTCTGGGCTCCCAGCCCCAGCTAGGTGGGGGAGGAGGTGCGATTTTAAATGGGGGTCCAGGGTGGGCTTCTCCGAGTGGGTACGGCCATGTGCAAAGGCCCTGGGGTAGGGCCCTCCCTAGGTGTAGGCAAGGAGCAAGCTCAGGGTGCACAGCGCCCTTTGGTGGCTGTGCAGGGACCGGGTGTTGGAGGAGCCGGGCAGAGGGTGAGGGTGAGGACGGGACTGGGCTGCAGGTACTGTACGCTGAGCTGACCGTGTCCTGCACTCTGTCCAGAGACAGGTGGTCAGCCTGGAGGACGACATGGCATGAACCTGAGAGCCCTGCCCTCCTGGGACCAGGAAGGACCCTTTCTCCCAGCCCTGCCCCCCGGCCAGCCGTCACCTCCCTGCCCGAGACCCTGATGCCTCCGAGCCGTCCAGTTCCAGAAGAGACCAAAGGCGCCGCGTTGGCCCGAGCCCGGCACCTGTCTGCCCGGGCTTTGTTTCATATATTTATTCCTCCGGGAGGCAGGACCGGACTCGGGACGGCACCTGCGCGCTGGGATTGGCCGGCTCTGTCCTCCTTCCTCCCTGTGAAGGAGGACAGGAAGAGACAGAGGAGCGGCTCCTTACTGTGGGCATTGCTGTCTTGTTTTTTGAGACAGGGTCTCACTGTGTAGCCCAGGCTGGCCTTGAACTCATAGCGATCCTCCTGCCTCAGCCTGCCCAGTGCTGGGATGACAGGCGTGCGCCGCCACGCCCAGCTCATCCTGCCCTCCTCCTCATGGCATGAAGGGCCAAAGGACGGGCACACAGGTGGAGAGGGGCAGGTGGCTCTGAGCAAGGAACGGCAGGTGCCAGCCACAGGGTCCCGCCCAGCCCTCGGCTCAGGAGAGCCGTTCACCTCCGCGCTGGCGCCGCGCCCCGCCATCCGTCCAGATCGGGCGCGCACGCCGGCCTGTGCCCCGGGACGCCGGCACACGACTCAGGGGACCCTTGCTGCTGGACGGTTGGACCCTGGCTTCCGGGCCGCCGCTGCCTGCACCTCACTCGTTTGTTCATTCACCGGAACTTCGCCAGCTGCTGAGGAAAAGCCCGTGTCACCGTCGCCCTTAACACTTAGGAAGTGCCTGAGCCCCGGGGACGCGCAGCCCCGTGTGTCCCTCGGCCCTGCCCCCGCGCCCAGCCCCCCGTTACCTCCTTGCACTTTTCAGGTCACAGTCACCCGGCGTGTGAGCGCGGCGCTCACTCACGCTGTTATTTGCACTGCTTGCTGCCGCGTGTGTCGGGACAGGTCGCTGGCTGGAGTGGCCAGTTCTTTCGGTTTTGCTTTGTTTTGTTTTTTCATTATTTTTGAGACGGGGTCTCACTGTGTAGCCCAGGCTGGCTTCGAACTCGCGGCAGTCGTCCTGCCTCAGCCTGCTGAGTGCTGGGGATCGCAGGTGCGCGTCCCCCACCCGCTCTGGAAGTGGGCACTGTGGATGTAGCGTTGATGCGTGTGGGAAAGGTCAGGTTGGTTGGAGCTTCCATGCTACGGTCCTGGTGCTCTCAGGAGCCATTCCTTTCCTTTGTGCTGGGGATTGAACCCAGGGCCTCCGCACGAAGCTACATCTTCAGCTCTAACATTTTTATTTGGAGACAGTGTCTCACTAAGTCACCCAGGTTGGGCTTGAAACTTGCGATCCTTCTGCCTCAGCCTCCCGGAGGGCTGGGATGACAGGTGCACACGGTACCACTGAGCCAGCTGCAAGCCTCTTTCTTTTTCATCCACTCATCCCAGACCCACTTCCGCTTCTATGCAAATAGCACCGAGCCCTTAACCCCCCGGCAGCCAAGGTCCCGATGGTCCCTGAGAGCGCACGGGGCCCTGCAAAATCTGTCCAGCCCCAGCCTGCAAGGTGTGAAGCAGGAAGGCTGCTGAGGTGGCTAAATACTGTGGCGTGGAGGCTGCAGAAGGCACAGCTGCCCCCGTGGAGGGCAGCACTGAAGTCCCCAGGGGTCCTCCATCGGCAGGACCCAGTGACCAAACCCTGTGCCCGGCCTCCAGGAACTGAGGGCGCTTGTGGCCCCCGGCTGTAAACATACATGCCCTGCAGGGAGTGCGCTGGGTGTTCTGTTTGCACTTTGTATGTTTGTCCAGACCCGTGCGTGCGTGCGTGCATGTGTGTGTGTGAGTGAAATCTATTTATTTTCCCAAACCCTCCTAGCTGCGGTGGTGACGTTTCTGGGGTCCGGTGGCCCCCCCCAGCAGCCCCAGCTCTGTGTACAAAGGGGATGAGCACGGACTGTGGCTGCGCCCGGTGGGGTAGACGCTTTGGGGACGGTTCCCGCTTTTTAAACCACTGTATAGAATGTTTTTATAGCCCAGGTGACCTATGGTTTCCCATTAAATTTCCTGTGAGCCTTTCAGCTGCATCTTGTGTGCTTTGAACTGTGTCCCTTGCTTCTGCGGGCTGTGAAGGGTTGGACACCCCCAGAGAAGGAACCAGAAAAGGAACATTTTCTTCTGTTTTTTGAGACGGTCTTGCTTACGTAGGCCAGGCTGGCTTCACACTTGCAGTGATCCTCCTGCCTCAGCCTCCCGAGGGCTGGGATGACAGGCGTGCGCCCCCACACTTAGTTTCCTAGTTGGTCTATTTCAGAAGGATATTAAAGGGCGGAAGGAGACGGAGCCATGCCGGCACGGAGAGGGCTCCGTCCCATGAGCCGGGGAGGGCTTGGTGGGGAGCGGGCGGGACGCGACTTAGCCGGGCGGGTGCGAGGGCTTGGGGCGGGAGGATGAGCCGGCCTCAGCCCGGCCCCTCAGAGCTCCCACTTCCGGCTCCCTCTCGCCCTTGCCCCGCCCCCATGCGGGGCCGCACC